AAAATAAAGCCCTAATAGAGAGCTTTAAAATAAGCTACTAAACTTCCCAATCGGGTAAGTATTGGTGGAGATAATAGCGTTTTTGAGATCCCGATGTGGAGACCCAACTTGCCACGCTATCTATACCATAAGCAATATAAAAGCTACTCTAGCTTTTATTACTAGTACGAAGATAGGAATAAGAAAGTAGTACCTTAACTAGGAGGGCTAGACAGGAAAAATAAGAAAGAAATAGTAAGGAAGAAAGAAAAAGAAGAAAAACACGTTTACTTGTATTAGTACTATTTCCTACCCCCTAAGAGAGCCTACTAGAAGGCAGCCCAGCTCCCCTATATCTATCCCTGTCACCAAACTTCTCTTTAGCACTAGGCATCTACAAAGCTAGTTATAGCTTAGCTAGATAAAGGCTGAAGCGCTATAGTCACGCAATATAGCATAAAGTACTAGATTGTAACTAGTTAGATAGAACGGCCTTTAGCCAAAGTCCTACATAGCCAACGGCTGATACAGGACTATAATGGAATAATAATACAGTCTAGTTCATGCAGATGCCCAATGCGGTAGCTATTACAAACAATTGCCCCCAATGGCGGGATTCTATCTCAAAGCTAGAACCTTGTAAATGCCCCTCAACCACGTCTCATCGATTAATATCTCTCACTATGTAGTAGGATACCACCTTATCCAGACCCTTGGTGTCGCGCCACAGCTACTATACAAAAATAGATCAGACAGAGGTTGATTTTAATCTATCACATATTTAGTAGGTTTTATAATACAGGAGAAAGCAGAATGTTACCCCTTAAGATCGTCTTTTTGTTAGCAACAGCAATGAAGATTAACAAATTTCACTTTGGAGGCCAGTTCAACGTAAAAAATATGCATGCAAGTGCTTTTTCTGTGGGTTGTACACTTTTTAAACTATATTAATCTCTTCGACTATGTAATTGTTCGTACAATGCAGCCGAAGATGATGCAAATATACGTAAGAAGGGGAGTGGGCGTGATGAACTAGCTCAATAACTGCACGATGTACAAGCTTAAATTTCGAAGGTTTTTTGCGGATCGAATGCACCTAAGGAGCTTGGCTCCTTCTATTGTTCGGTAAGTTGTGTCAAAGTTCACTTCAATTCGAAAGGCTATTGGCATATTAGAAGGTATATTCGTAAGCTATCAACGACTGGGAAAATGATTCTTTCTGTCTTCTTTGCGCAGGGCTGAAATAAATGGCTGGAGTTGTGGCGTTTAGTAAAGTGGGCCCTCGGGGTGGCTCATCATGCTTCCGCATTTCCCTAAATATAGAAGAGAGGCGCAGTCTCATCAGAATGAAACGAGGTACTCCTGACAAGGTCTATATCGGGGCTTGGATACAGATATACGCAATACGCTCAAATTGTGGGTCCGAGGAGCTAGAGTAAGGATCAAATGGCTAAATAACCGAATACGCATTACTACCCGAATACGCCATCCTGTCCATTTAGTGGGCCAACATCGGTTTTCGCTTAGACCCAGGTCTACATCCACAATCATAACTATAGTATGGAATGTGTTATGCCTCGTATAGCGCAATGCTTTCTAGTCCCACTTTCCACATCAAACCATCCAAGCCGAGCGTGTCTAGCCGCGTTACAGGTCTGTGCATTCGGAGATACCTGATCTCAAAACACACTGTGGAGGCTGAGTCCTTGTTAAGTCCAAGCAAGCTGGATTGTGACCGCATTATATCTACCTGGACAGACAGTACACGATAACCAACAAAACGCTACATCTATTTCCCTTAAGCTTCTACACCTCGTCATTCTACAACCCATCGTTCCTACCGTCTTTCAACCATCTCAAGCCGCTTAACTTTCTCTGTTTCTTCTTCGCTCAAAACATCGAAGAGAGTCTTCGAGACAGTAGCTTCAAATTAAATGGCTGGGGAAAATGGGATATATCTTTACGCGCCCAGTATCGCGGGCACGATCATTGCTGCAGTGGCATTCGGCGCCAGTGCCATCTATCACCTCGTGCAGCTGTTGCAAAAGAAGGCATGGTTTTATAGCGCTCTTACAGTGGGCTCCTTCAGTAAGTAGGGGTTGAACAGTTTCTGTTTTTTTCTCATCATTTGTTAACAAACCTTAGTGATGGCTATTGGCTATGTCTTCCGATATATCTCCGCGAAGTCGCCAGCAGATCTGGGCCCTTACATTGGTCAATCGCTCTTCATCATTCTTCCTCCTTCTCTCTACGCAGCAACAATCTACATGATTTATGGCCGTCTTGTTGTCTTTGTTAGGGCTCCAGAAGCCTCAATCATAAGACCAGCACGTGTGACAAAGATATTTGTCTGTGGCGATGTGCTCGCCTTTCTACTACAAGCTGGCGGTGGTGGCATGATGGCGCAAGAAGGTATGGCTAAGACAGGCCAAATGATCATGCTGATTGGCCTCTTCCTTCAGCTCTTTTTCTTCGCTTTCTTTCTAATCATCTCGCTTGTGTTCTGGAAGCGGATGCGCAGCTCCCCCATTTTTTTTACCATTCCAAAGTATGGAAAATATTCCTGGGTCGCGTTACTTAAGATGCTACTATGTGCAGCGGTCATCATTATCTTACGCTGCATATTCCGAATTATCGAATTCGGTCAAGGGCATGATGGTTATCTTGCTAGTCATGAGGTGTATATGTACGCGTTGGACGCAGCGCCAATGCTTTGTGTGCAAGTCATGTTTCATTTTGTGCACGCTGCTGATGTCTTTGCCCCAGGTCCCTCGGGGGGATTAGCGGATGACGAAAGTTGCATTGACTTGTATGTCAGGAGCGCATGACACCAAGATGGAAACAAAGCTGTAGAAAGTATAGAATAGGAATTTATACATAGGGTTGTGCCAGAACTAGAATGTTACGATTACGAAATATATAGAAATAAAGTAATGGATAGAAGAACATGTATTCAATTATTTCCCCTATATGGTATCTGATGATACCTAAACTGCGGGAATTCAATTCATCACCATATGAGTACTCACCAAAATTTGCAGCATCCATATGCACTTCTGTTCATAGAACACTTTGATGTTCTTGCCACAAAAGCTTTTTCGTTTTCAAAAGGGGTTGGAGTATCATGACACACCTGTATTGGAGTGAAGCTAGGGTTGGATGTTCAGGGTATCGGACTCAAATGAGATGGATTCTAGATAGGTTTTACCTGTCCCACGTAGAGTACACTGTATACTATAAACTGTCGGAACTTACACGTTCGGATATAGCGATCTGGATTGGATCCTGTACTTAGTCCCACCTCTTAAGCTGCCTCGCGCAATCAAGCCTTTGCATCACCAATTTGTCCGTTCTTGCTTGTTTTGGTATCATTCGGCCCACTGCGGCCACTCCATAGTAGCCAGTCATGAGTAGAGCAGTGAGGGAGTTCATAGAGACACACACCTGCTCATGTTCTCGAGTGAAGAATCTATCGCATATCATTCGCAAAAATTATCCTATTCTAATAGCCAGCTGTTTCAACATTATACAATAAGCATGCTGATGTCGCATTCGTTCCCCTTCCTGACATTCAGATGGTCAAGCTCCCACTTAGTCTTATGTCCCGACTACTCGCCCCAATATAAATCATATAGTTTCCTTTTTGTAGTACCCAGCTCTGCTTCACAGTATCCCATACACTAAGATCTCTTCTTGTAAGGCCAAAGGAAACAGTCGTGCTCTCGCCTGCCTCCAACGGCATCTTCTCGAATCCGCGTAACTGCTTCGCTGGCGCGCCTGGAATACCAAGATACAGCTGAGCAACTTCAGGCGCGGAAGTGAGACCTGTATTGGTGATTTCGGCTTTAACAGCGACTAGCACATCCCAGAGGGACTCGATACCGCCTTGGCTCACAGGCGCAGATGGTGGGAGAGCAGAGGCATTTGCGCCGAGATTAGTAAGAGCGATGCTAAGGCTGGCGTATTCAAAAGTAGTGTATGTAAGGCCGAAGCCAAACTCAAAACGAGGTGTAATGTTATGGTCATCGAAGTGGCGATAGTCAATGTAGACGCCTTCGGTCAGATTGGCGGATGTGTAATAGTTAGAGGTATTGTCGGCGCGTACAGGAGAGAGGAGATCGCCGTATTCAGACTCGTTCTTAGCGACGGTGTAAGGAAGACGGCCGGAGGGAGCTTGGTCGCCGTACATGACTGATACGAGTGCGCTTCCTGAATCCTGACCAGGAAGATGACTAAAGAGAACCGCGGTGATATTTGGATGTTCGATCCATTGGTCTACCAAGCGCGTGCCCGCGTTATGGATAGATACAATAGTCTGGATGCTGATTAGCTACATTGCAACTTAAGATAACGAGTATAAACATTTGAACCTACGTTGGGGCATTTAGAGGCAACGTTGATCACCAACTTATCTGACCAAGGGTCAGCAAGCGTGGATCTATCCTGCCCCTCTGCGGCAAATTCATTGATAAAAACTATGCAAGCGTCAGAGCCGGCGTTTGCATAGACGGGATCCCGGGATTCAAAATCCCAAAATAAAAAGGTGTTATCCTCAAGCGCCCTTTCCGAGAAAGCCGCGAAGGGTGAAGAGACGTGAGCAGGCATGATAGAGGCGCTACCGCCTCCACTGAGAAGCGTGCCGGATCGCGCGGCCCCAGGCAGGTCTCCGACGCCGATGAACAAGCCCTGCATTTCTTCATCGGTGACATTGACACTCTGGTATCCTAGGCTGTACTTCGAGTTAGGACCTTCGGGAGTGTTCTTTAGAGGAATATGAGCATCGTATCCGTAAAGAGTAAGGATCTTTGGCTTTTTCAAGGGTAGCGTGTGGTTGTGGTTCTTCACCAAAACGATGCCTTCGGCAGCGCCTTGAAAGGTGTTCCTTCGAGACAGAGGATTCATTGCGCTCACGACCTCATGTTTCTTAGAAAGATCTGCTGGAAGTCCGGAACCCGGTTCAAATTTCGCAAGTTTTATCCAGGGAGCAACGACGCTAGATGTCAAGATTAGCGATGGTCTAATATTGAGCTCGATGCCGTACCGTTTAACCATGTCATCGAGCCTACTAGCATCCATTGTGCGATTTGAGATTGCCATTGTGAGATTTTTGCCCCAGACTTCTTGAAACGGTGTGACAACATCCATACCTGCGTTGGCAGCGGCAATGCCGGTGTGTAACGCACCGTAGTCGCTGATAACATAACCTTGAAAAGCGAGCTCAGTCTTTAGCAGATAATTTAAGGTGTAACTATTTTGACAACCATGAGAGCCGTTAATGCGGTTGTACGAGCACATGACAGATCCTACGCCAGCTTTGACAAGATCTTGAAATGGCCATAGGTACAGCTCATGTATCGTTTTGTCATCCACAGTAGCCGATACAGACGCGTTCCCAAGCCCAAAAGCGCTTGGATTGCGGTTAGTCTCCTGCTCGTTGAGAATGAAGTGTTTTGCAGTCGCAATAACGTGCTCCTGCATCCCCAAAACGGTTTGAGCACCCATGGTGCCGCAAAGGTAAGGGTCCACCGAAAAAGATTCCTAGCTGTTTGTCAGACATGAATTCAATCCTCGACATAGCTTACACACCCAATTCCTGCCGCCCATGACTACACGGCTAAGGGGCCCAACTGTTGGTCCAAGCAGATTGTTAACTGGGTGATATTGTCAGTTGTACGTGCAAAGATAGCTTCACTCGTGATATGCTTACCCCCCTTCACCTTGGACTCCAGACCCATAAATCGACCACGTTCAAGGGCAAGTGTTTTGTTCCATGTCGCACCAATAGTGATGCCAGATGGATAGCCGTTCACAGCGGCGATGCCATGAAGACCGTTCGGACCATCAACTACACAGATGCCAGGAAATCCAAGACGAGGAACTCCGGGTATTTGGCCCACGCATCCATTTGTGGTAGATGTTTGTCCGGAGACAACGGAAACCTTCTCTTCAATAGTCATCTGGTCAACTATTGCCGATGCCTGCTGATAAGCATCGGCCCAATCGCCTAATCCTGTGGCCTGTGCTGCTCATAGATTGACGTCAACGAGCTGACCAGTGGAGAAACTTGCAATCATAGAAGAAGGGCTACTAACGGGTTGGGTAGAAAGGAGGACTCCTATTGTAGCTCCAATAGAGCTCTTGAGCTTCAATCACTTCGGGTCTTGCGGGAACCTGACCGTCAAGAGCTTGCTGGAAGATTTTCAAGATGTTGGCTAGCCTTTCTGCGGGCAAAGACTCAAGATACTGCCTCGTGGCATCGTCAATAGGCAGGTCATCTGGGATTTGCGCATATGAGAGAGAGAAGATAGACGATAGTACGAGCAAAATCCGAGTCGCGGAGATAAAGGCCATGATGGAAGGCGTGCGGTGATGGATTTGCAATGTGGTGCTGCGCGGCCTTTAAACTGCAGTCATAAACCACACGGTTAAGCGCATCTTGAATATAGAGTGCTGGTGCACAAGAAAGTGTAATGCAAGACCAGCTATGGAGATGAAATTAGCAAGAATAGACTAGCGTCCCCTAGACCGGTGCGCAGAACGTATGGATTTGGTATACGCACAGCGTATTCGGTACGCTCGGCCATAAAGTATTGGGATAGCTGGCGCCTCCCTGATCCGTACGTATAGCGTATTCTCGTATAGCGTATCTAGCACTATAGCTACTCGGGCCCAGGGATGGCGTCCCGCCACCCATGCTGCGCATGGGCCCTCGCAAGCTTAGGGCCCCTGAGCTCAATGATAAATATACGCTCTGTCACAAGTAACAAGAAGGATTCTCTGCTTGACAAATGACGAGATGGCTGAAGGCCTACGGACGTCCACGTCAGAAGGTAATGATCAACGCAGGGCGTGGATCACGTGACTTGGCGTCTCGCCAAGAGGGCAGATGCCACAGATGTCAGGACTGGAAGCAATGAGGATATAAGGATGGATAGATTTCATTATTACTCTCGTTATAGTTAACTAGAATTATACTTTCTTACTAGTTACTTTACTTAATAAGACTATTACCTATTAGTCTATAGTAATATAGATTAGTAGTTATCAAACCTATTATTGCCTATTCTATTAAGCATGCTACTCTACTATCTTGCTAGACAACCCTCACGGAACACTAGTGTAAAGCTTACCGGGCTTATTGCGGACCCGGCAAGAGAAGTATAGATCTAGACCCCGTGTAACACGCTCAACAATAATTATAGGCGTTTAAATCGTAGTTACTTAGTGGCTAGTATGTATTTATAAAATCGATTTAGGAGCGATTATTGAGTATATATATAAGCTACTATTTACAAGTCTCTAGCCTTATTAGAGTGGTACTCGTCGAGTAAGTCGTCGTTGTAGAAGCGCGACAGTGGCGATGAATAGCCAACAGAGCTCTTCTCTGAGCTCTCAGCGTCCTGCTTAGCTGTCTGTTACGTATCAAACATAGCCACCTCCTCCGCCTAAGCTCTCTCCTGCTGCTAACGTACTTTAAGAGCTGTCGTGTCGCGTGTGGCAATATATATAGTATATGGGTCGTAGGGCTGTTGGGCTGCTAAGCCTAGCTATGCAGAACCTGTCCGGTCGTATACATATAATAGATCTACGCCACCTCTCTACAATAGATCTACTATTAACTAGACGCTAGGAGCCCTGCGCACTTTCTCTTAGCGACGAGATATTATATTGTCGAAGGCCTAACGTACGTTGTATAGTTGTCCTCTCTGTATGTCGCCTTGCAGACAGCTTACCAAGACGTCGTATTGTAGAGAGCTTAAGCGCAGTAATTAGGCGTTTTATAGACCTGAGATTGCGTTCTTAGAGCTTCTTTTATATCTCTATAAGCTCGTCTTGCTCTCTTTCAATTACTATTCGTCTAGCGTCTTTGGCGTATAAAGGTCCTCCCTCGTTTAGGCAACGTCTATGAACAGCTCTCTTACGACGCTCTGCACGAGCAATCTCAGCAACCTCTATTTGCTGTAGAGCTTTAGCAAGTCCTTAAGTAGCCTAGGCCATTGTGAGGGCGTCTTTATAAATAGTGTCTAGGGCGCTGAGCAAATCGTTGTCAACATCGTAGTCCTCCCAAAGACGCCGTTACAACTCTATAAGTGAATTATTGAGCACGCGTGTTGTACGCGGAGTCCTCTAGTCCTAGAGATTGTCTAGAGCTCCAGCGTTATCTCTGTACACTTCTACTAGCTGTAGATCTACGCGGGGCACCTCCATAAGTCTGACGGCGGCAAGGACGACTTCTAGAACCTATAGAGCTAGCTCTGTACGTCACCAGCCACTTCGTATTATGTTATAGGTGAACGTCTGACGTCTTATTTCATCGAGAGTAGCAAAAAATTCGTTCTTTGTGATCTCTTTAGCGCCCGTACGCGCCGCCCAGTCAAGCGTCTTTCCATGATACCATTTCAATAGCTGAAAGCAGCACACATCTAGTGGCTGTAATAGATGCGTCGTGTGTAGAGGGAGCGCAACTGCGAGCCTACAATAGTGCTCACAGTACTCTAAAAATTCGCGGGTATTATGAGACCTATGGCTGTTAAGAAGTAGAAGCTTCTATAATCTTTTTGTATGAGCTTTTGCTTATTTCTTAAAGTACTAGATTTAGTGGAAAGCTGTTAGATCTGTTGAATAGCTTGAGGATGTAGTATTAATAAAGTAATTGTTAGGAAGATTAGTTGTCTAATAATTATAGGCGCGATTGAATGGCCAGACGCAGAAATACACTTGTCGCAAACCATGCAAGGATACAATGACATCAAGTGTAGATGAAACATGGCGGTTGTAAGGGGCTGCGCTCCGGGGAGCAATCGCGAGGTATACAAGAGGTTGTATTCGATAAGGAGCTATCTACTCTGCTTACGTAGGGTTTATTTACTTGCCGGAGAAAGGTTATGCCGGAGTATCTGAGCGCGCTGTTTGAGCACTGCTTGGTCTGAACGTAGTTCAGATAGTGCGCGTACAGCTTAACCCGAGATTCCATCGAGGAGCTATCTAAAGGGCGTTCAGCCCGTTACACTTTATAAAATAAGAAAAGAGTAATATCACCGCGTAAGAAGTGAAAACATACATGTCTAACTTATATTACTATTATAACTATTATAGCTAATGCACTTAACTTTTGTATACGTTCTCTAATAACGCGTGATAGGAAACCGAAAACCGTAATCACAATATTACATAACTAAGATTCCAAAAACGGAATTTTGGACTACATAAGACGAGACAACATTACCTGGATAAAAGCCTAGAAAAATGAAATGAAATAACATAACCGGAATTCGAAGAAAGAAAATTTAAGATTACACAGGAAGAGCTAATTTTGTGTAAGTAGAGGTCTAGAAAAAGAAAACTTTAATAATACAACCGAGATTCCATAATAGGAAATTTTGGACTACACACGAAGCATTATAGTTAACTCTATATCCTTAAGAGGAATAGAAAATTAATTCATTTAACCTACACTCTCTATATTTTAGCTTAGATCAAGTGTAGTATCTGTTCTTTCCAGTTTAATCTCTAAAACTCTCCTAAGGGAGAATTCTTGATTATACTTATTTTTTGCAACTAGTGGACGGCTTCCTGGGCTTACTTATAGTCATCCTCACAGTATCATCCGTATTGCACTATCTCGGACTGACGCGAATCTTTTTCATTGAGACTTCTGGGTATACCCTGTTGCTTGAGGAAGAAGTTCATGGTCGCAGATTTTTAATCCAGGTAACGATACATTCAATCATGCACTCAACAATACACATCCCTATAGGCTTCCCCTATCTTCTGCGTGAGCTGTGCCTCGTACCACGTCAGTTGAGTATACGTGTTAGCACTTAGTTAACTGTCATGTCTGATCTTCGCGCTGTCTCGTCACGCCATCACTGCTCAGACTTTTCCAATAGTTTCATAGGGGCTTAGGGTTAGGTTTCCAACCTATGAGATGCTATCTGAATACGCTTTGCCGATCTCATATTTCGCCTACTGCTCGGCAATTACGTTAATTAGCTGTTACGCCGCGTGGGCGCATTATTGAGCCCCTCTGATCTTGCTCTGCGACATTGGTTTACGCAGCAGCTGTATTATCATAATCCTATCGTCGTATTTTCTAGCTTGCGATTTGTTGTAGAAGAGCATCTGGTTTCACGCGGTTGATAGTCATGTTGATGACGCTGCGTGTCCTTCCAGTTTTGGGACTCCTGGGCAGATTAGTTGGTTCGCATTGCTGTGGGATGAGTGCATAGACCTAAGGTTGCGTAGCGCTTTCTGTGTGAATGAGGCTCTTTTTGCACGTTACGACATACTTAGTGCCTATCCTTGTCATCGTCTGCCATCTCAACCGATACGATAGGTTGGTGCCTGGTTTACCTACTCATTGCCCTTGATGCGAGTTGGAGGCTAAGTGATATAGCCAATCAGAGCCTCCTTTCTAGCAGTGTTACCAACCTCTCGACATATCAGTGCCTGTGCTGCGATGCTGATTGGTTGCCAATTCAAGACCGAGCTCAGCTCTGACCGACTGTGCCTCAAGCACCTCTAACATTAACGGATCCTAAGATCATATTAGACATGCTCAGTCAGGCTATATATACATACAAAGCTCACACATTACCTCTTATGTTCGCACACCCGTACTCCACTAAACATGTCCGTCAATATTCCCAAGGAAGCCTTCCTCAAAGTTCTTCGCACTCAGGTGCAGCAGATAAAGAGCCTGTTATCAGATGTCGACCTTTAACTAAAAGTTTTAGAAGAGTCTTCTCCTAAAATGCAGGTGTATAAAGTATGCCTAAATTCAAGTACGAGGGTGCTTTAGAAGAGGATATTGATAAGGTATTGAAGCCTGAAATAAAGGATGCGATTACTCAGTGTCCAGCACGGAGAAGAGAGTTAGCAGAAGGAAAGAGCTGGACAAGGTGTGTGTCAATGAAATTTGCAGGGAGTGAGGGAACGGCCACTCTGGAAATGGACCTACAGAGAGGTGTTCGTATTCAACAGAAGTTATTTTCAACAGTGGCGGCGTGTAGTCTTAATCCTCTCTAAATTTTCCTCCTGCTAAATACAAAGACATGCCTGAATAAAGCTTTAAAGAGCCATCACGTCTACCATAAAGAGATTTAAAATGCTTATTTCTATTACTATCTGTCTTGATGACCGTAACATGACAGTTCTTCCATTTAACTTCTTTGCCCTTTCCCTCTATCTAACTAACACCATTCGCCTTGATATCTGAAAAGTCTATACTTGCATCGAGAGGCTTTACGCTACCAAGACTGAAGGCCTATTACAATATTTAGAACAGCAGTCAAGTCTTTAAGAGGAGAAATACTATCGAATCACGCGATTTGCCAATAATGAGGCAAAGTCGTGTCGTATGCGGCGATGCGACGGCCTCTAGATATACGCGGTTGCGTCTCTTAGTATAAGACTGTGTGCACTTACTAATATCAAGGCTAACAAAAGATTAAGTATTACGAACGCGTCTGCCGTGCGTTACTAATGAAGAGGTTTGCGAGCTTACAAAAACTAAGTCGGTGGAGTAGTAGTGTTACGTAATGTGTCGCAACCATAGAGCATCTACGGTTTTGGCCTGTGACGTAAAAGGGAAACAGTGTATTGGATATCTGTAACAGAATTTAGAGAAAATTTAAGCAATCTAGTGCATACAAGACTTGTTGGATCAAATCATGGTATCTTAGGAGCCACTCACTCGTTACTATAAGCTTCTTGAAATTGCCCTGCACTATCACATGACCGTCCAGCACTGCCTCAGTACATGCCCCCGTACTGTCATATGCTCCTCAAGCATGATCTTGAAATGACCTTGAGCTGTCACGTGATTAGCGTAAATTCTAGATTAGCATAAAGCCTCGTAGAATGCAGTGTAGAATGCAGCTTAGTATGAAATACAACGCACTAATCAGTCATCTTGCATTTACCGATCGCCTCATTGTCAAACCAGCCGCCTGTTACCAACTTGCAGAGATTTGACTCGTACAGCGTTCAATAATAACTTGCGCATAGGCAGGGTTTGTGGTACGCACAGAAAGATGGTGCTGAATGCCTAATCAGGCGACCTTTAACTTGCCGCGCGTGTGCTGCATAGCCTCTCTTGCATCCATGCGGTTTGTCGGCTAGTACTCTATTCGAGGCTACCTCGTAGATAGCAGTGACCTCTCAATGCCTAAAACATTGCTGAAAGGCTGATTGTCTTTGCATAAACCCCCTATTATAGCTGGCGAATTGTTCGACAAGGCTATGAACCGCTGTTGATTATCTGCCGCAACTTGCTTTCCTGTATCTTCCCATGTATTTCTTACAGCTCTGAAAGTGTCAGTATCCAGGTGCTCACCACTGGCTAGTGCTCTGGCAGCAAGAAGAGCGTCAGAGAAGGCTGGTAGTATCCAATACAGAGAGAACTGCTGATAAACAAAGTTGTTAGATTTGGATGAGCTTGCCGTAGTTATTATTTCAAGCTTCAGGTTCGTAGCTCTCTATTACTTCCGTTCTCCAAACGACTCAACTTGTGCCTCGACTATCTTTCCCGCCCTTTCAACGGCGAATGCATGGTATTTGATTCTTGGAGGATACTGGCTAGGACGCCTCGTTCTGTGCCTTGTTAGTATAGCAAGTATAGCAGTCTCCATGACCCTGTAGTAAGCCAGGAGAAGGGCCCAGCCAATTCCAACTGCTTTATATGCAAGCGGTCGAAAATGGAGTGTTACTGAATTGGGCCACATAAGTTTCATCCCTCCTAGAAGTATACCGGGTGACTTGATGTGTCTTATCCATGGAATACAGACACAATACGTACTCCGGCGCAACACATGCCAGGGACCAGGCAGTTTGAATCGGACTTAAACCCTTGTTGGCGAATGTTACATGCATGGTATCATGGATGGCGAAGCGCGGCAAAACCGACACAGAGAAGGCTATTTCATAATCATCTGAATGTCCTATTCAATCTCAGAAACGTTTCCTTTTCGTTTCGGTAGGGATGCATAATACCCTGCAGGTTGCTTTGTAACTGATAAATTCCCAACAGTATTATTGCAGCTGATGAAAGTTAAGTGATTAGATGTGTAGGAACTCATCCTGGCAAACTATGTTTTGTGGTTAAGCCATGCTAAGAACATCGGACCATCACAGCGATGATTTCTTCAAAAAGGATGCAAGTCTTTTATGTAAATCTGATTGAATCTCAGCTAACCAATGTAGATGTTATGACCGCACAATCTAGACTCAAAAACGGAAAGTGACTTTCGGGAATTCATATTTGCCCGATAAGTGAAAAACAGCAAAGAGTGTGTGTTCTGGATAAGACTGTAGACAAGGCGATACATGGTGGAAGTACCATAGGGTGAAGGGAAGAGCTGAGCCGAGCATACGAGCTCACATCATTGCAGCCACAATCTCATGAATATTGCACAATGTTTAGCTATTGATATTTGTTAGAAACATACAGGATCAGCCGACTCTCTCAGCCCTGAATGTGACTCACCATTGGCATAGACCATCGTAACAACCGCAACCTGGACAACAAGCGTTGTAGCAAGGAAAACCAGCTACATTCATGTTGATAAGCACCTGTTTTCCGATTTTTTTTTCGTCAACGGTTAGAGGACCTTACCTCTGTTACATGTTGCTGGTGATCGTTCGAGAATACCAGAGTCCCTACGTTCAGCTTTGGAAACAATTAGCGATGCAGTTGATAAGAACAGGTAGGAATTATACCTGGGATATTAGCCGCAATAGCGGTGGATAGAAGAGCTGCGAGGAAGACGATAGGCTTCATGATGAATGCAGAAAAAGGATAGAGTAAATGCTGGTATGGTTGGATTAGAATGCAAAGGGCTTTGAATGTTTATGCAGGTTATGTCTGGAACTCTTCATTTATCATTTATCTAGTACGAGTTTGCGTAAATTTTATTTTAGAGCGACGCAAGGATTTCTCCACCAATCCAGTAGCAATCCACAGAAACATATTGACTACACATGAATGTCATAAGCCCATGAAGGGGAGCCGCTGACAATTGCCGGGAAGACATGTCACAACGTTTCGGGAAGGAGTAAGCACAAGGTTTGTAAAGTAAGAAGATCCGGTGAGATTGGGACATACACAACTCAGGAAAGAACGCCTAACCTTCCCAGGTGGTACATTAAAATCCTACGTAAACACGGTAAGATGGAAATAAGGGATTTCAACTAAGTCCTTGGCTAGTGATTTGAACTTCCGATCCCATTGTGTATACCCTAATCTGAGAAGGAATGTTGTAAATTTGCATGCTCCGTGTGATACGTTACTCGGGCCCAATGGTTCGTCCCGAAAATTTCAAGAAATTGCCCGCGCGTTGCACGGGCCTCCCACCCCAAGGGAAATACCCACCCCAAGGGCATCACTTAGATACAACATAATACCAACCCCACCACAACATTAGATAATTAGAATCTATTTTAGCAAAAAGTTTCGCAATATGCCAAAGAGTAATTCTTCAGCTTTAA